TTTAATGTTTTGTTTGTTTGTTTTATTTTTGTTATTTTAGGTTTTCCCGGACCACCTGGTTTGGATGGCCTTAATGGCCTAGCAGGACCTAAAGGCCTGTCTGGAAACCCAGGCAAGAATCACATTTCAAACACCAGCTGATTCTATATTTCTTGCTTTATTTCACAGCTCACTACTCACTCAGTACTCAGTAAACAAAAATGAGATGTACAATAAGCCAGATAATCCAAAGCTAAAGCTAATCTCAGCATGATCCTGTAAGAATAGATGAATGTATCAAGTAGTTATGGCTCGATAACTGAGGAACGATGAGCAGTTTTGCATTTTGGCCCTTTGTGTGTCTGCAGAAAAGGAAAGTTCATTATTCAAAGCTGTGAGGCATACTGCTTTGGGAAAGCTCAACCTTTTCACCCTCTTCATCAGGGTCAACATACGTCTGATTGTTTTAGGCTTGCAAAGATGAAAGATTTAACAACTTTATGTTTTTTAATCTAGGTGCAATTCTGGGAGGTAGGCCCGGCCTTTCTGGTAGTCCAGGGTTGAAGGGAGAAAGAGGTGTTTCCCAACCCGGTGTTCCAGGGTATCCCGGCCAAAAAGGACAAAGAGGAGAACCAGGTGAAATAGACTTCAATGAAATCAAAAATGTGCAGATTCAATGTGCAATAATATATATAGCAATAGATTTTTTTACTTTCTGTATATCAGGTCCTTTTGGATTGAAAGGGAGCCCGGGTATCCCTGGACCTCCTGGACCCAGATCAATAGAAAGCTTTCCTGGACCTACAGGAGATGCAGGTCTCCCTGGACTGGATGGACAGTATGGTAAATACATTTCCTCAATCAATTTTGATGATTTTGTTTTCCATTCTCTTCTTTTTTCACATTTTTTTTCTTTTTTCCCTTTATATTCTCCTATACTTTTCTATGCTTAGTTTTTCTTTCTTTTCCCTTTAACGTTAATTTATTCAACCTTCCTTGAATTGAATTTCTCTCTTCCTCTCCTTTTTTCTTTCTTACAGGTGTCCAAGGTCCTCCAGGTCTTCCCGGCCCACCTGGTCCAGGCACAGCTCAGGGAGACAGAGGTGACCCAGGTCTGCCAGGCTTCCCAGGGAACCCTGGTACAAAGGGTGAACCAGGATTACCTGGAGGTCCTGCATTCCCTGGCAGACCTGGTTTAAAAGGTGGAGTATGGCTAAAATACATGGCATGAACTAAAAATGCTGCTTCTTCTTTTCTATGTTTGCTCCTATATGTTTTCAATTTAAAAAAAGATAAACTGAAACATTATGTATTTGCCCTTCAGGACAAAAGGGTGATGGTGGTTTTGCTGGAATTCCTGGTGTCCAGGGTTTTAGAGGCGACTCTGGTTTTCCTGGAAGCCAAGGAACGGCAGGAATTAGAGGTAGGACAGCATAAGTCTTTAGTTTCCCCCACTCTTTTCCCCACAATTTCTTCTTCATTTTCTTCTACCCTTTATCTTTCCTCCATCCCTCTTTTTCTCCACCCTTTCCCTTCCAGGGTTTCCAGGTCCAAAAGGTTTGCCTGGAGTCATATTTCCAGCTTCACTGCCAAATGGGCCATATCCACAAGGTGATCCAGGTTTCCCTGGTGAAAGAGGAAGCCCTGGTAACCCTGGAGAGCCTGGTCAGTCTGGTTTTCCTGGGCGTAAAGGTGAGTTGAAGGCACAAACAAAGTGTGTATCTGCATCCACTTAACCTGAACAGAGTTACGGGGGCACCATTATAACAGAGACATCCAGACTTCCTTCTCCTCAGTCATTTCTTCCAGCTCTTTTGGGTGGGTCCATCGAGGTTTTCCCAAGCCAGCCAACATACGTAATCTCTCCAGCATGTCCTCAATCTGCCTCAGGGCCCTCACTGAGAACACCTCACCTACGAAGCACCTGGGACGGACCTTAGTCAGATGCCTGAACTACCTCAACTGGCTTCTTTCAATGTCAAGGAGTAATAAGGGACTTCTCCAAGTGTCTTCCAAGTGGCTGAGCTCCTCATCCTGTCTCTAAGGCTGAACCCAACAACTCTTGAGAGAAAGCTCATTTCCACCTCTCGTATCTGCGATCTGATTCTTTCAGTCACTACCCAGAGCTCTTGACCAGGCCTTATTCATGAGTAAGAGTAGGAATGTAGATTGACCAGTAAATCAGCTCTCTCTTTATCATGATGGACCAATGCAGCATTCACATCACTGCAGATGCAGCCGGAATCCATCTGTCAGCCACCTGCTCCTCTCTCCCCTCACTTGTGAACAAGACCCAGAAATATAAGAGGGAAGTTACTTGTCCCCTACCCCAAAGAGGCACTCTACACTTTTCCAACTGAGGACCATGGCCTTGAACTTTGAGGTGTTAATTCTCATCTCTCCGTGTCTCCTTTTGCCATAAACTGCCCCAGGTGGGATTTGAAGGGGACCCGGGGCTCTGCCGAATGTTTCCAGCACACCCTCGCTCTCTGTTTGTGTGTGCCTGTCCTGTCTAAAATTCCAACCTGCCACCTGGTCCAGCTCGTTCTAACGACAGCTCTACTCCTCTCTTCACCCAAGTCTCCAGAACATACAGCGGCATATCTGACATATCTGATTATGCAATTACAAAGTTGATCATTGACCTTCGGCCCAGGAAGTCCCAGTGCCAGGTCCACTAATGGACTCCCATGTATTCGAAGATGGCGTTCAGTAAGGGTAAGCTGTCGTTAGAGCAGATGTCCAATGACAGAACACCTTTCGGGTTCAGACAGACTGTTTCTCCCAGTCCCACTACACCCAAGGTCACACTGTCATTGTCCCCCAGAAGGACAATGAGGTCACAAAGTGGGGTATTTTTCCACACCCCACTCAAGGAACCCAAGAAGGCTGTGTACTCTGAACTATTATTTGACACATAAGCGCAAACGACAGTCAGGTCCCCGACCCTGTCGTCCTTTAGAGAAAACTCCCAATGTGCATGTACCCAGCCAAGGGATTGCAAGTATACTCAACAGCTCTCACCAAGGGCAGCTGCAGAGTGGAGCAAAGTACAACAACTCTGCATGAAACTGTTTATGAACCCAACCTGTGCATTGAGGCAAGTTCCACTATATCAAGCCGGTATCTCTTGGCCTTAAGCACTAGCTCAGGCTAGTGACATTTCATGTACCCAAAGTCAATTTTAGCAACTCGAGATCAGACCACCAACCACAGACTTTCAACCACTGCCTAATCCACTCTGCATCAGACTCCTGCAAGTGTCCACAGGAAGGGTGGCCTCATGGGCTAAACCCTGACCACCATTCACTTGCTGACAATGTTCTCCTCTGGGCTTGGCTCAAGTATGGGGCCTTTTTAACTCCAGGCCAGCCAAGGAACAATGATCCAAATGGTTTGCGTGATTCAAACTTAGTTTACCCTTTTCACCCAGAATAAGTTGCTTTGGGAGAACATACCAGAGGTTAATTGCCACCAACAACATAGCTTCTACGACACACAAATCCCTCCATCACAATAAGATAGCATTGGAGGAGCGTTATCCTTCATATCCTGCAGGAAACAGGAGCTGTTTGCTCTGCTTAGGGTAAGCTAGTTTGCTTCCATTCAAATGCAAACAAAGTGAAAGAAGGCAAACGTTTTTAACATAGAGTGTTAAAATCTACTTTCCCCCAACATCAATATAAATGATATGCAGCTAATCTGGCGTGTTTTAATGTACAGAGAGAGAAAAAACAATAATAAAGTGAGAAGATGAAAAATGAATGATAAGCAGTGTAAAATATTCTCCTGCTGCAGGTACTGTGGGGAACCCTGGTCCATCGGGTAGACTGGGCAGGACTGGAGTTCCTGGTTTTCAAGGACCTCTTGGGGATCCCGGACCTCCTGGTTTCCCTGGATCCCCAGGAGCACAAGGTCAGGATTTTTGTTTATCTTCGACTTTTTAATAGCTTATCACTTCTAGCATGTTCTTATTCATTCCCCCGTCTTCTTCAGGGTTTCCTGGTACAATTGGCCCTCGCGGCATTCCCGGCAGCGTCGGCCGCAGCCACAGCATCGGCTACACTCTGGTTAAGCACAGCCAGAGCCCCCAGGTTCCCATGTGTCCTCAAGGCATGGCCAAACTGTGGGAGGGCTACAGTCTGCTGTATGTAGAGGGACAGGAGAAGGCACACAACCAAGACCTCGGTATGAAAACACTCTCAGGCTCTTATGAACCATAAATACTAGTTATAGCAGTCTTTGTGTGGCACAATTAAAGGTTTAAAACCTCCCTTTGTCTCTTCAGGTCAGCCGGGGTCGTGTCTCCCCAGGTTCAACACGATCCCCTTCCTCTACTGCTCGCCCAGCGAGATTTGCTACTACGCTAGCCGCAATGATAAATCCTACTGGCTCTCCACGACCGCATCCATACCCATGATGCCCGTGGAAAAGGAGGAGATAAGACCTTACATCAGCAGGTATTGTACACTGTGTTACTTTAGTCAAGCTGCCTGTCATATACATGTGCATACAATTAATGAAGCTTTCATCTGATTATATGAATAACACAGGTGTTCAGTATGTGAGGCTCCATCTCAGGCAGTGGCGGTCCACAGTCAGGATATGACAATCCCCAACTGTCCTATCGGCTGGAGGAGTCTCTGGATAGGATACTCCTTCCTAATGGTACGTAGTTAATGGCAGCTTCTACCAAACAGATTTAGACCAGCAATTAGATGACGAGGTTATTTCTCCCCATGGTTCTGCATACTGCCAAATTGTCTTCAGAGATGTCATATTTAAAAAAAATGTCCTTTCATTTCTGACACAGCACACAGCAGCTGGTGCAGAGGGCGGCGGTCAGTCCTTGGTGTCTCCCGGTTCCTGTCTGGAGGACTTCCGGGCAACTCCGTTCATCGAGTGCAACGGCGCCAGGGGCACCTGCCACTACTTTGCCAATAAATACAGCTTCTGGCTGACAACCGTGGATCCAGAAAATGAGTTTACCTTCTCGCCAGCCAAGGAGACGCTGAAGGGAGGCCAGGAGCGCTCCAGAGTCAGCCGCTGCCAAGTGTGCAGCAAGATCTTGTAGTAGGCAAAGGTGAAAGATGGAGGAGTGAGGCGGGGAAACATCAGGAGGGGATTCACTAACATTTCAAGAATTTATGATGGAGGATCAGATGGATTTAAAAAAGAACACGTGACTGACTGAATGGACCTTTCTCCTGTGCTGTGATGGTTTCAGAATCGAGTCGAGCAACATCGACCCCATTTTGAGAGTTTTTTAATCCCCTGTAGGAATGAATGGCTTTTAAAAAAAGAAGAAGAAGCTGGAGGTAGGAGGAGGAAAGAGAAGAGTCCCAGTGTGAGCGATCTTCTCGAGATTATCACTGATAATGGTGCTATTCTTTATGTATGTGTTTATTATGTGTCAGCTTTCTTGTGACAGATGTCAGCGAGAATCATTCTCGGCTACCTCGGAGAGTGCCCTCACCCCCATTTAGCAAACAAGTGCCCCTCACACACGTTAAGCACCCAATTTAAAGGTTATCAGCTCAGGAAGTTGGTCGTTATTGGTTCTTGTCGCTCCCATAGATACTGACAGCAGGCAGAAAGTCTCTACACCAACTCTGACGTCTGACTGTCATATCTATGGGACAGACAAGCCTACAAATGCTTTTCAATGGGCTGATCACGTTTGAAGTGGGTACATAAGAGCTTAATGTGAGATGAGAGTAAAATTACAGATTGCTGGTTGATTTTAAGGTTTTAAAGCGAGTTTGCATTATCTTATTGGGCTGATCTGAGCAAAGCAGATATAAAGCTTCACTGAAATTCAATCTTTGGGAAGATTAAACCTGTTTTCTTCACAAACTTTTTATTCTACGGCAGTTTAGCACCACGAAGGTGCCCACTGTAAACACACTGAGGATTTTTTCATGTGTTGCATCAATACCTGCAGTATATTTGATGTCGGCCACTTCATTATTGGTTTGAAAATCAACTTGCCAAGACATGTGACTTGCTTGAGGTAAAAATGGCGTTGAAGCTATCCTTTGTTTTTAAGGTTTTGTGATATTTGGATTATTTTTTGGTGCCTTACAATCGGACGTGTGAATTAAAGGAGTTTTAGCTTCATGTAAAGATTAAAACAAATCTGTGGAAAACTATAACTCATTAGCAAATTATTTTTTGCATAAACAAAAAAAGACTAGAAGTATTTTGTTTATTGGACTCCAACAAAAAAACATAAACAAAGCAAGTTTCATTTCTTTAAGTGCTGGTTTTCATATAGAAGGTGAGAAGCATCATCTGTTTTGGGAAACAGAAGGAACTTAGAAACAATCTAAAGTATTCCTAAACATGTCAAAGTCCCTGCGTAAGCTTCACGTAAGCCTGTGTACATTTCACAGTGGGACTCTCAGGTTGCTGCTATGTTACCGTTAGTATGACTTTAAAGGTCAAGTCAGATTTTTCTGTGCAACAGCTGAAATGACAATAGAGAGCTGTTGTTATTGCACTGATGTGGACACAGATGGTTCAGAACATCAAAGGGGCATACATATCTCCACCTCCACTCTCACAGGTTTTCTCTATGCTGCGACCAAACAAGTATTTCTTTTGATTATATCACACTTTTTAAGGCTGCCATTCGCTTGCATTTTGCAAAAAGACACAAAACACACGCTCTCTGATAGATGAATTATTGCTGTACATAGTGCTTACTGTATTTTTCAGCAAATCATGTTAGCGCAAAGGTCTATGATGTTGTTACTCGGTTCTTTTCTTTTGTTTTTGTGTCCTCGGACAGGTAAGAAGATGGCAAAAGGACAATTCTGTGCCTTTAAATATAGATTTTGCAAAAATAAATACAGAAACACACAAAAAATTAGAAATTGTATCTGTTTTTGCATTAAATTTGGTTTTCCTCTGAGTCAAACAGGTTCATCTGTGCTTGGACAGTGGAAGCTACAGCATGACTTGTAACCACTACGACCTCTAGCACGTCTCTCTCTGCTGGTAGCCCTGACTTTAACGCTGTGTCACATAGTACATTTGTGTCTGTATTGCTTTTTTTTGTAATCTAGATTTGTAATTATTGAGTCATGACACTAGCCCCTGGTTTTATTTACTGAGAAGTGAGGGAATGGGAAGGTAATGATGTGTACATTAAATTTTATGGAAAGGAAAACATGCCTGTGTTTTTATATGGGAGCTATGTTCACCGCTGATGATTAGGATGCTAACAGCACACTTTATTGCCAGTTTGGACTTCACCGCACGTTCAGAGCCAAATGGAGAAACATGCTTTAAGATCCCTGAGTGACAGAAAAGAAATGCAGTTTTCCTCAAAGAGGATCTATAACAAATCAAAAGTGGCAACGTAACATGTCTGTTCCTGTAACGTGTGTTTCTGTGCTCACACACTTTGAAATAAAGTCTCAAAACTACTTAACAAATGCATGTTTTTGTTTTTAGCTCAACATGAGGAAGTGAAGTGAATTTAAATATAAAATCTGTAAAACCGAATGTTGCTGCCAGTGGTACTGGTTCATTTCACAAAGTGGATGTAATAGAGCAATAGAAGATACAGCAAGAGCACATTTGGGTGTTCTGATAGGACAATGACTCCAAACACACATCAAAACTGTTTTTAGAATAGATAAAGCAGGCTAAGTTTTACAGAAGGGATAGGCCTTCCCAATGGCTCCATGGTCCATCTCAGAAAACCAACAAGCTTTAATTAACTCTGCCATGCTGCCAAGAACAGTGGCCAATCCAGCTGGAAGTATGCAGTTGTTTATGTTGTTTACCAAAAGCATCTTAGCAAAGGACATTAACCCAAAGCTTAGTGGAGGAATATACTTTTGACCATGTGTGGATTAGAGAAAATCCAGATTAAAATTAAACTTGTGCATCTGAATTCCTTTTCTTTTCTTTTTTAAGTCAGTACAGGTGTGTGCTATAATCAATCACTACACCCTGGAAAGAAAACAGTTCAAAGAATTTATTAAAAGGCCAAAGTTACCATGTCATGTGACCATGATGATGTAAGATGCGCGGAAGTGATTAAATAAAAATAATTAAGAACAACTATTACAAAAAGGAAAAGGCCAAAACAATATCAGAAATGAAAATTGCAGAAGAGATAGATCACAAATTCTGTTTCTGCCTCTTAGTTTTTATTCACATTAATAATTTTTATATGTTTCTATTTAAAATTGGAATAATAAAACACAGATAGATAGATAGATAGATAGATAGATAGATAGATAGATAGATAGATAGATAGATAGATAGATAGATAGAACCTTCGCTCCAGTCCAGTAGGTGGCGGTAGTTCACCTTATCAAAAGAAGAAGAAGAAGCGGAACTCGTAGCACAACAACAACATTGTTAGCAGCATTAGCTCGCAAAAAAGCGAGGAGACTTTTTTCTTCTTATTTGGGTCCCATTAACAGGTGAGTGTAATAACCGAGGGCCGTCAGAGGGTGTGAATGTGCAGTCTGTTGCCCTGTGTGCTTGTACGGTCGGAGAATCGCACATTTGTGAGCCGTTTCAGCTATGTGCACAACGTTAGCTCTCAGGCTAACGCTAGCTCCTAACGTTTTATTTAGTGGTTGTGTGCAAAAGTCACTGCATACAAAGAGTTCTCGTACAGGATGGAGATTAAGGTGTGATGATGAGGATGCAGTGCTGTTGGATTTGTCCTCCCAGGTGAAATAGTTAGTCGACAGCCAGAAAAAATGACTACACATTCATGAAAGCTGATTTCTCGAGAGCTTTTTGTATTCTGCTCGTTGTATCCTGTTAATGACAACGTATACTCGGATACAGGCGTCATTGATACTTGTGGTAACGAGCGGTGTGCACGGATGGGTCCAGATACTCAGAAGGTTAGACGTCAAGATGTTTTGTGTGTCAGGTTTCTTTACTAAAACTCATATTTCTTGAACCCCAGAGGCCTAGAGATACACGCAAGATTTACCACGGATACATCAGTTGTCTTTTTTTAAGATCTGAGGAGGTTTATTGCATACAGACTTGTCTCGTTATTAAGGGTTCAACCTTCAAATGGTTGGTGACCTCCACAGTCAACAGATCCCAGTTCAACAAGCATCTTTGGGATGTGGTCGAGCGACAGATTCTCATTATGAATGTGCAGCTGACAAATCTGGACTGACACTCAAAGCCATTATACAACACGCCTCATTCATGCAAGCACTTGCTCTATGCTTTGAAATGCTTTCTAACATTCACACACATTCATACTCAAATGGATGCATCGAAGAACAGCTTGGTATCTTGCCCAAGGATACACGCAGACTGGCCAACCTTCCAGTCAGTAGATGACCTAGTCTACCGCCTGAGCAACAGCCACCCCATACAGTGTGATGGGGTTAGGGGTGCTGATCATGCAAATGTGGGCCAGAATGGTTCCAGCATCTTGTTAAATCTGTGCCTTTTCTAAGCAGCATTTGTATTTTTCTATTCTTTAACTTACTGCTCTGACTGAGGTCGAACCCGTTGTCCAAACAATTGTGTTTGACCTGGGCTAAAAGTCTATGTTTGAATCAACTGTTATTACTGTTGACAGAGGCCAAGTGGAGACAATCTTGCATAAGAGCACAAAGGAATTTGTGCCTTGATGGCAGAGTGATAAAGTCACAGCTGTGCAGTCACAGCAAACATCAGGTATAAATAAACAGTGCTGAGTAGCAATAAGTGACCATAGGTGTGTGAAGTTGAAATAGTGTGTGTGAGGTCAGCATACAGGCAGAGTAGAGCCAGTGTGACTCATTCAGGAGGATGGATTTAAAAAAGAAAAGCAAACACCCACAGTGGTGGGGACCATGATTTGATCTGTTAATACCTGGTTAAAGCACGTGTCTGTAGCTGTAATGCTTAAAAGTATAAAAGGTCAATTAAAAAGTTGGAAGTGAACAGCAACAAGATCCACTGTTTGATTTCTCACCGATTTTTACACTGGCTGCCATCAGAACTACTGTAACTCTACTTAACATAGAGTCAGCAAGACGTTAAAAATGTTCAGTTGGTGAGCCGGTGTGAGTTGTACCCTCAGGAGTTGCATCCAATCTGGTCTTCTGCTGCTGTAGCCCATCTGCTTCAAAGGTTGATGCTCTTTTGTCTGCCTGTCAAGAATTAGTCGACTCTGCTCATTCAAAAAGGAAAAAAAAGAAGGTAGTCCACTCCATGTTTTGGGAATAACTTGTTTATTTCAGTCTAGTTCATTGGATGAATAACAAGCAAAGAAGTCAGAAGTAGAGCAGGGCGATATGGCCAAAAATATTTATCACGATATACATTTGAAAATTTGCGATAACGATATAACTGCTGATATAATTGACACTAGACAAAATACTTTACAACTCCACAACTTTATTAGTGCAAAAAAAACCCATCAATGTATTTTCACTTAAACAAGCAGCTTTTTTTATGTGCATTAAAGTTATATAAAAACGTAACAGTGCAAATCCTTGCTGACAGTTTAACCAAAAGACATTTCCAGTGGAAATTGGCCGACATGTCCTCAGCATAACCATGTATAACATCCACAAAACTTAAAGAGGTTATACACACACAATA